ATTCGTTCCTCTTTTAAAGATTTGGAAGATGAAACGCAGAAATATTTTAATTGATTTTCAAGTTTTTTCTTTTGTCACTCCAAAGAAATTATTATCGCCACAATCTATATATAGAGGCTCTATAGTAGTCTAAATGCTCTTTTGCAAATCCGAAATTCATCTTTGCTGAATATCAAATGACTTCTTCCGCATGTACACTTCTCTACATTTTTTTGCGACGGCGAATCGGAAATTAGCGGAAATTGGGATGATTATTCAAAAAGATGGAAGACAACTGACAATTTTAAGAAATTAAAAATTAGGAAATCACGCGCAGTGATATGAAGAAATCTGGTCGATGAACACGCGGAATTTTCTGAACATCATTCCCATTTTCATGCCATTGGAAGCATCCTGAAGATATTTTCGCAATTTTGTGTCGTTTAAGAAAGCGTCCAGAAATGAATTTGGCAGTAATTAAACTATATAAACTTAATAGTTAACGCTTAACTTTCGCAAACCAAAGTAAAATAAAGGAAGGGAATCGGCACCCAGCGATAACTTTCCTTGACCATTTTTGCAATAATAACTGCAGTACCATTAAAACAATTGAAACAATTCTCCACGCGTGTGATGAGGAAAATAAACGAATATTTAGAGTTATTCAGCAAATACTGTACAGAAGTAACACTTGGCAAATTTTGATCCTAATCATTCAATTATTTTGACATTTACCGAGTGGAATCTCTGATGACCGATCTGTTCTTCGTTTTCTTTGAAAGAAAAATAGTGTTACTGGTACTTGACAGTTTTTTTTTCTTCAAAAAATTAATTGCGCAGCATTGAATTAAAGCATTGATTCGTTTATTTTGCAAGGAATCATACGCAATATTCATTATTTTGTGTGATGGGAAAGGATTTTTATTTCATGCCAAAATGTTTTAAAGAGCGTGCTCAATGTTGATTATTTTCAAAGTTCTTTTAACGGGGGAATAATGGAATGCAGTTTTGAAAATCTTGAAGAAAGATTGAAATCGGAATCTTATTTAGGATATGCTTTTTTTTAGCATGATTGAACCAAGATCTTAATGACATTTCAATATATTTTCTTATGGAATTTTAGTTTTGAAGCAAGTTCAAAAGAGTGCGACGAATCGTAGCATGATTCGAATATTTGGACATGTTTGGCACATAAGTCCATATTAAAGGAAAGGTGACACGTTCAACTTTTTCTGAGTTTTGAACCACGACGAGTGTCTTTCCAGCTAATTTTATCCATAAAATTCGAATTTTTTCCCAGCGCTGTATAAGACGCTCAAAAAATAACGCAAAAACGAAACAGAATCGTCGAACTTTAAGCATATAGAAAACTCTCTCACTTGTATTTGTAGCCGTAATCGTCGAGCTTGAAGTCCTGGGACAGGATGGCAACGGGCTTCTTGTTGTAGGATGACGGGGCTGGGGCGTATCCGTAGTTGTTTTCCTGTGGGGCGGCGACGTAGGCGGCCTGCGCGGGTTGCTGGTAGCGCGGCTTGGGCGCCGCGTACTGCTGCGGCGGTGGCGCCGGTCTGTACTGCTGCGGGCGCTTGTCGGGCGCCGCGTGGCACACTGCTGCCACCAACAGAAACGCTGCCTGTAATTTCAAAGCGGAGAAACGAACGAAAACTTCAATTAATCCTCAGTCTTTTAAAAACAAATTTCGCAAACGCCAGCAGTAGCTGAAATTCGGGCGAGCGACTTCCACTATTGCATCTAAAAAAAAGATTCAATTCTGCATCGAAATATTTTTTTTAAGGGATAAAACTTACATACGATTTTTATTTTCATTCTGCTCATAAGCGCTTTTTCCGCTCTAGATTTATGCGAACAATGTCTTTTTTTAAATAAAGAAAAGCTATATAATATAAACTTGGTTGTTCAAGAGATTTCGAAAATTTTTCTGTACGATTGTCACCGACTTGGAAAAATAAAAGCGGAATCAAAGATTTTTCAGAGCACGATTGGGCTTCCTGATGGTCATGCGATGGAATGGGGGGAAAAATTAACGAAAGAAAAACTATAATATATTTATTCCGAATATAAATTCTATACGATTCTTAATTTACATTAATAACAACGATATTCTTTCGTTCCTGTTGCTAGTATTCTTATTCATCTTTCTAGAAAAATTTTAAAGCTGGGGTTGTCAAGAGATATCGTGCGATTTTTTTTTTGCAGGGTTTGAAATCAGGAAGTCAAATTTTGATACGTACTACTGCTACTGATCGTGGAAAACTTTCTTGTTCTTGCTCAGATATTCTGTGATGGGATTCGAATAAAGGGTAAATTCGATGCAAACCGAAATTTAAACATCTGAAGTGTGAAATTTTGAACTGCTGGAATAAAATGTTTTTTTGTATTCTCGTTTCATTTTTAAAATTGTTTTTTCGGTTGAAAAGGAGACGAAGGTTCAATAGTATATAGTCGCTGCCAATTTAATATTTTTTTCTTCTGAAGTGAAACTCCGGATATGCATCGGATTTTCTTATGCTGCTTATATCAGCGAAATATTGAAAGATCGAGAGACTCACCAAAGACTTGATCATTTTTTTTCGCGAGGAAGGAAAAAAAAATTTCCACTCAAAATAACCACAAGACAAGTTTTGCTTCTCTCAACCGTAGATGCTCACTGAAGAACCCGGAGAGGTGATGTGACGTTTGGACGCCACTCGGTTTTTTTTCGCGAGGAAGGAAAAAAAAATTTCCACTCAAAATAACCACAAGACAAGTTTTGCTTCTCTCAACCGTAGATGCTCACTGAAGAACCCGGAGAGGTGATGTGACGTTTGGACGCCACTCGGCGCCGCTTTTATAGTGCGAGCGGGGCGGCGGCCGCCTCTCCGGTTACGATCACTGTGCCAGGGCAGGAGAAAAAACCTCGCCCGAAGCACAGGCTTCAGAAACGATCCCGTGCCAAGGCAACACCTATACAACACGGGGTTCCCCCCCACCATCCAGCACATACGAAGTATTGCACAAAATATAATGTATGCATTTGATGTACACACACGACACTTGAAGCTTTTAAGCCATTATACCTTTTATTCATCTGGTTCAGAAATGTCTGTTGTGTGACTAGGTAAAACAGGAATAACTCGCATCATCTGCACTAAATTCTGAAGGCCTTCGCCGGGATATTCAAATATACCGGAAAAACCAAATACTACAGCAAACAAAATCTGTTATACTTCATCCCTATAGAATGAAAATGCAAAAAATAGATGAAATAAAGAGATATAGAGCATAAATGGATTTCACGATGAAGAAGCGGCCGTAAAAAATAAAATATCGAAGTATTTACGGCAAAATATCATCGAAATACTTTTCAGTGCATTTGCATCTATGCATTTTAGTCGAAGAAAGTTCTGCGCGTGTAAAAAAAAAAAAAAAAAATTGGAAAGACACACGTGTTCCACATACTTTCAGTCACTGAAAGATCCTGTCACTGTTGCATCAGAATTTTACAGTACGGGATAAAGCGTGATTCCTGTGCTAAAATAACCAGTAAAAACATGAATGCAGCACTATATACAGGAACAAAAAGGTTACATTTCAACAGTCAAATTTTTGTCAGAAAAAAGTGGAAAGATTTGAAATGAGAGAAAAACGCCTGACAAAGTTTATACTTTTTCGAGCCTTTGAAGCAGTAAAGGGACAATTCTTTTTTTTTCCTCTCGACTAAAATTATCTTCTAACCTTTAAAATAAGAAATGAGAAAATTATAAATATACGCAGGAAAACTCATATTTTCCGTTAAAATACAATATTTGTCAATCAATCGTGGCATACTCAGGAAGAAAGATGATTTTCTCTCTATCACTTTATTGATTTAGGAGTGCCTGAATAAATTTTAGCATTTTTCTGTAATAAGTAAAGCATGCTCTTATAAGACTTTTCAGCTGACACCAAATGCTTCCTGATCTTGAGATGACATCAGAATTGTGTTTCTTTTTCTCCAACTTCTTTATTATAATTTCTTTCGAAAAAAAGCGACTCAAAAAGTCTCATGAGAAAAACTTTTTTCGGGGATCCATTAAGGTGCGCATGAATCACGTCATACTATTCATCTTCCCTTTAAAACGATCGTCAATGCACTAAATCGTTACACTGTCCTTGAGAGACCGAATCGCATTCTTTCAAATTCAAAAGTAGGAAAAATTGTAATCGGAGGAAAGAGTAATGGATCTCTATAGAGGGTACTGTGGTTCAAACAATTTGTCAGAATTAGGCTCGGGGGGAAAAAGAGGGTTCGAGTCAAATTCTGCTGATCTCTTTTTGTCCTTTACTTGAGGATCCATATGCATTATTGCAGTAATAATGCTATTTCCACTATTGTCGTAATTAAAATTTATGAAATGAGCTAAAATATATCTCCTATAACCACTTTGTCAACTTTGTGAGGGTTCCAGTGTCAGAAGAAAGTTTTAGTTTGATCCTGAATTTAGTGATTCATCAGCACAAGAACTTGCGTTTGTTTTTACAAATTTCCTCGCACTTGATCACCGCGTAGAACTTCAGTCTTAGTTGTTAAGTATAATTCGAGTTTAGTGTTTCACCAGCATTTTGTATAACCAAAATTGGCCAATCGATTTGTAGAGAATCGTAACTAAAAGTTTAATAGTGAAGTATGAAAGCGATTTCAGAAATGATTCGTCCTTCAGTTGAACGCATTTTCAGCGATCATTTTATTCATTTACAACTTTGTGAATATTGGGAGAATCATTTGAGGATGCGTTTATAAAAATTCTTTCGCGTGATTCTTCGGTGACTTTTTGAGTACAGTGTGCATTTATGGGATTATCTGAATAAATTCAAGAAAATATTCCAAAATAAAACGGTTATTTCGATTGAATAAAAAGATTAAATATAGAAAGAAAATTATTAACTCTCCATCTATAATCAAGTACAGTACTAGAAATTATATTTTTTGAAATATAAACACAAGAACAAACACAAGAACAAGAATAAAGAATATAAACACAAGAACAAGAACACTCTCCAAGAACAAACACAAAAAATAGCTTTCTCTTCCAGGTTTTTTTTAAAGAAAATATCTCTGCCGCTGTATTTGAAACTTTTTTGAATGACCCCAATTAAACCCGTTGAGAAAAAAAAATAGCGAATGCGTGTTGCTTTTTTCTCAATTCAAGACTTGACCATAGCAATCCAACTATTACATAAATTGAGGATCATGTAAACTATATTATTAACTAACATTAATTTTCAAGTCCCTTGAATCATGATCGTTCTAACAGATGTATAAATATAAAATCGAACAAAATTCCTCTGGCCTAAGCTACTCCGGAATTCAACATATTCAAATTTAAAAATAATTTCCAAGCTTCAGTTGACGGGATTTTCAATCGCGTGCTTTCTGTTTTTGTTTTTTTTTCTGATGGGTTTTCTCGAGAACTCTTCATGAAATTCGGCAATTTTCTTTCAAAGGAAAATGCAGGATCAGCATAGCAAACGGTTCTGAATACTGTACAGAAGATTTCATATACTGTACAGTAATACGGGTTGAAAACTGTAGGTCCTTCCTTAGGTAATTAAACATCACAAATAATACTGTTTGAAAATCTAATTATTCCACGGGTTACCGAAAAATCCACGAAAGACCCCACGACCCCTCATCACTGGCATTTCCGAAAATTTTCAAGGGCTGTGTGGAAACCTAGATATAATTATTCAATCAAAAAAAAAAAAACGGATCGAGACAAAATTGCGAGGAACACTAAAAGCCACTCTATTTCTTCTCGCTTATGGTCACAATTGTAACGCTTGTATCAGTTGCTAGAGTAATTAAAATTGTTCTATACTATATAAATGGCTGGCATGCCAGTTTCCGGTCATGTCACTCCATTCCCACGAGGTCAGTCCAAAGTAGCAGGAGTTTCCAGAAGGAAAGGGAAGAGTGAGAGGATAACAAGTTCAAGATGAAGTGAAGATAAATTCCATTCTATCCCAGAAAAGCTCTTCGCCACCCCCATGGCGAAGAACCCCCTCTTCGTCAATTTGTCGGGGTTCTTTTTTTTTTTTTTGAGGTTGGTGCTGGGAAGAAATAAAGAGAGAGAGATATAGAGAATTGGGCGCCTCTCTGTTCATCCGGCGGCGCCGACCTTGTCCGCCGATGCGTCGGGGATGACTCGGCGTGGAAGAAATATTGGGTGTGTCGGGTTGCTGATGGGTTGCGGCCACTGCTGGCCCGGACTCCTGCTGCTGCTGGCCGCACGTCCGGCCCACTGGTTGCCCCGATTTTTGTTCCTCCTGAAACCTGCATGAACAGTGCTATTCGGAAATACAGTGCAGTAGAATCTCGTTATAATGAATAACCGCTTACAACAAATTCGCTTTTTTTCGTAGGTTCCTGCGCAATTGCCATGCTTTTTAGAGAGTTGCTTTCAAGACGAGTTGTTTTGTTTGTTACAACGAAGTTTATTCTACTGATACCCAATGCTTCGTTGTGATGAGATTTTGCTGTATTCTGGGTTTCAACTTTACGGAAAGGCCCAGACAACCCGTGCTGGGGTGGATGAAATGATTCAAGTACTGTAATGAATTCGTTTCATATTTTGCTATTATTTTGCAACGACAAAAAACCCGCCAAAATCTCAGCAAGTCTTGAGCTAAAAAATTCAAATTCATTTTTTAGAAATAGAGGAAAAGGGGAAATAAAATAAGGATATAATTCTGCCTCTTCATTGTTGTCTGTAAAATTCGTTAATTTCAGAAAGTTAAGCGAGCATTACCTTGTCTGAGTGTTTTCAATTTCAAATCATAATATGATTTGAATACCCAATTGTGTGCTTATCCTTTGAAAAAAAGGGAATCTTTAAGGTTTATTCTGGTCCTTCGGATAGTTGTCCAGAAATGGATTAAATATTTTTCAGTTGTAACCTGAAGGAAATCATGTTTACAGCAGAAGAAAATTAAGAAAAAAGTGGCGAAGAGAATGAGTCAGTTAAATTAACAGGAAGAACCTACTTCTAGGATGAAGCAGAGGTTTTCAAGTATACCCTCGAGGTTTCAAGTACAGTACAGTATATACCTCTGTTTTATTAGCACGCTATTCTTAAACAGAAAATAAATCTTTTAGATGCTCTCCAAGGATCAGCTTCCAGCAAAGGCTATACATGTATTAATTAAGGGTCACAAAATGTAATAACCCAAAAATCACGACCTTGCAATTTTTCCCGCAGTATAATACAGTGGGTCCCCACGTAAGGGAGAAAATTGGTTCCAGGTTCTGTTTTGTTTTTTATTTTATTTATATTACATTTTTAGTGATTTAAATCGCCCCAATTAGCCAAATATCACCAAAACCTTAAAAAATGTTTCCCCGCGAAACATTTTGCATTAAAAATTTTTAATATGCAATTGAGGTAATTGTGCTAAAATATCGCTATATCTGGAATTTCTGAAACTTCTGAAACTTTCTGAAATGTCCGATAATAATGCATACAAACAATTAGATTATGTAAAATTGAGCCCATTTTTCTCACTCTCCTCAGTTTTCTGAAAAATAACGAAATTTCGAGTAACATTTATGAAATTCCACCTTTTTGGAGTCTGTCTGGGGAATTTCGCTACGTGTCACTTTTTGCAATATAAATTCTCGTTGTACGAATTTTTTCGTGATGGGGGTCTTT